CGCTGCGGTAAGCACTTCTCTTCTAGATGAGGAAGCTAGGCTGCGAGGTGAAATAGTTGTTGAAGAATTAACTCATCGTTTCTCATTGGAGTCGAATTTTATTGATTTCTTTGATGCCTTTTTTAGATCCCTGCTCACAAACGTTTGGTGGGATTCATTCCAAAATTTTAATTCTAATACGCGTGCTCAGGCTGAGAATATAATTAATCCCTTCGAGCGTTACAAGGTCTTATTGGATTTAAATGTTTCAGAAGAGTATTTCTTTCGGAATATTATTTCTCTTGATGAGAAGGCTGAGAGATCTTACCTTAAGGTTAGGGCTTTGAGGCTCCTTAGCACCAGGAGTGTATCCCGATCAGTTTCCAGTGCCTTGACACATCGCAGCAGTTTCGATTTTCCGGATGTTTCATCTGAACCAGGCGTTTGCTATCCGGCTTTCGTTTTAGTTCAAAGGATCGGAAGGGGTTATTTATGTCGTAAAAGAATTGGCACTCGTTTGCTCAATCGACGTCGAGCGATTGCTAAGCAGATGATGAACGATTTGTTTAAAAACGAATTACAGCAGCGCTTTGCACTACAGGATGACGAGTCAAGGGAGAGGTTGAATTTGCCAATGATGCCAACCCTTCTAGCACCCGTCTCTGGGACAGTTACTCAGTACCATAGTTTAGTTAAAGAGGAGCATTTGGCACGCATCAAGATAAGTGATGAGTATTTTCGGAGCATGCAATTATTACGTCGTTCAGAGAAGTATCGTCTTTGTCCAGGTGGAATGCTCGAAACAGACGACATGCCTCAGTCATCACAACTTGCTATGGAAGGTGTTTCTGATGAGGCGGTTCACTACATAGAACCAACCTTTAACAGAGTTGAAAGGTCACCCATTATTCAAACTATAACGTACCGAGGCTATGAACTCGATCCTATTGGTGAATTTCTTGTCAATTACGATAAGCAATTACACCAATTAAAGAACGCAATAGCAACTCACAGCGAATCTACTGCTCGGATGCACGATGACATCAAAAAATTAAGGGATGAGGCCATACAACAGCCAGTCAATAGGGGGTTTAGTGCTTATTGGATTTCTTCAAGGCCCGCTTCATTATCTGAAATGATGAAAGGCCCTACAAATCAGTCGCGAAGGCTTAGCAAAAACAAAAAAATGTGATATAGGTTCGAAAAGTCGAACATGAATGTAAATAATCTTGCCTTATTACAATATAAGATAAAGACAGTCCAAAAATTACTGCATTTGTTTGTAATATAGAGATCTACAAAGACTAGGGCTTTTTAATGCTATTTCCAGCAAAAATGTAAATGTTTCTTTGCCTTCCTCCTTTCACTTTTGAGTATTAGCTCAACCACTTTTCCATTCGGTTCCCATTTTTTATGCCGGTTTATTATTTGCGAATTGTAGGCCCACATGATTCGACTATATTTGAATGTAGCAGTACAAAGAGTACTGGCCAGGATGATTTGATGTGTCAGTTTATGCTATATTCATCCCTAGACGTCTTGGAGGATATCGTATGGCAAAGAGATGACCTCTACGTATCCAAGGTTGACCGACCGTATGGTGAGAAGTACTATGTCTCTGCTTTTGTTGGTCTTGCACCCATTCGGTTAGTTATGATGCAGGACACAGAACCTAAGGACTCACTTCGAGCATTTTTTTTAGAAGCCTACGAGATAACAATGAAACATCTGCTCAACCCCTTTTTCGATGCGACCAAAAAAATTGAAAGTGTCAGCTTGCATAATAGTATCATGACTTTACTCAATCGTGTATCATTGTAGAATGGGAGCTTCGAAAACGTTCGAACGGCGTCAATAAGCTTCTCAAGATGGGTATATTCTGCCTCAAAGGAATACATCCTTATCTTGACAGCCTTGAAGCTACGGGCCTACTACAGTAGGGGCAAGCCAAAGCCAACTGGAGATGGCGAAGCTCGACAAGGCGAAGGGCAAGGAGGCGATTTCACGCGAGCGCGAGATGGTTCAGGAATCGCGGAGCGCCTTACAGGAAGAGCGTCGCCGCCAACGTGAGCAGTGGATCAAGCAAATCCGTGACATCAATCAAAGAATTCTTGACTAGCTTCATGATCTTGATGGGGAGCTCCGCCGTAATGGGGAGCAGATTTCAGCGAAGGAGGCTGCGAATAAGCAGGCGATCATCGATGACATAAAGTTCACCGAGGAGTACTTTCCGCAACTTATTTTACTGGAGACCACTCCAATGAACCCCGAGGAGATGGAGAACATCCGTCGGCAGTTTGACGCAATTTTCGAGAAGGAGAAGGAAAGCTACGTTGCCAAGATTGAGGAAGAGGAGCTTCGAAAGGCAAA